ACAGAGCCACATTTCCATATGAATGCTAGTATGACGTTCTACCACCTCCTCCACCCCCAGCTGTTTGCAGAGGAAAGTGAGCTAAGCTAGACTCTGGATAAAACTGACATATTTTTATATTGAAATTATATACTCTCCCCTTAATAGTTATGATGAAATCTTCTGTTTATGGATTGAGGATATAAATATCTTGGCTAAACTGCTTTAAAAAATTGTTGTAAACTGCCATTGGGTCAACTCTTCACTCATGGGGATCCCATGGTTGTGATCTTTGCAAAGCAGATCGATTGCCAAGCCTTTTTTCCACAGCACTGCTACATAGGTTCAAACTGCCAGTTGTGAGAAATGCTTAAGATGGTCCATCTTCAGGAATAGAGGGTGCACGAGACTGCTAGACCAGACTGATTCACACCCAAGGATATGTAAGCAGGATGGATTTGAGCAAGTACGGGGAGATCTGTTCTAGGATTTGGGCTAGATTGTGGAACTGGGGGGAGGGAAAATGGGATGTTAGGGGTAGATTGTAAACGTCAAAGTACCCAGTAAAAGTGGAACTGGAGGAGGGGCTTTTTCAAGACAGGGGAATAAAATTCTTAGCCGGCTGGCCATGTGGTGTGCCTGCCTGTGTCAACTGGGTTGGGCATCCAATTTTGCAAAATCAAATAAAGAAAGGCTCAATCTTGCCAAAATGAGTACAGATTGGATTACTTGTTCTTTTGTCAGTATCAACAATGTTTCTTACACAGTTGAGTGCTGAATCATTTGTGCCACCCAGAGACCACGCTACTCATCATTTTTCAAAAAAAAGATTACTTATTTCAAAATTATTAATAAGGTTTAGCTTATATGGTGCAAGGATACAAAATTGTTCTTCCTTTGTGGGTTGGGTAAGATTTTCTTCTAATACTTTATCCCACCAAGCTGGGGTAAAACAATTCTGATTGCCTAAGAGCTTTCTGTTGCTGGATAACAGACAATAGATGGTGGCTGCTGGTTAGGGAGGAAACAGACAAGAATTCAGTCTACCTAGGACTCCTGGTGTAGTGCTGTAGGATCAGCACTGGACTGCAAACCACAAGGTCTGCGATTCAAACCTACCAGCTGCTCCTCAGAAACCCTTTTCAGAGTCGCTATGAGTCGGACCCAACTTGACAGCACTTAACAAGACCAGGGCACTTAACAACCAACGAGTTCTTGTATGGTGCTGTAGGATAAAGCACTGGACTGCAAGGTTGATTTGAACCACAGGTTGGCAGTTCAAACTCACCAGTCATTCCTCGGAAACTCTATACAAAGTCACTATGAGTCAGAACTGACTCAGAAGCACTTAACAAGAAGACTGCCAATAGAAGCCAGGTTCGTTAGAACTCCTCAGAAATGAAAATGGTGAGACTTTAGCTTGCTTACTTTGGAAAGACCAATCGCTGGAGAAGGACATCATGTTTGGTTGAGTTGTTGTTGTTGCTAAGCACCACAGAGCTGGTTCCAACTCACAGCAACCCTGTATAGGGTTTCTAACCTTGTGGTTCAAACCGATCTTGCAGGTCCAGTGCTTATCCTACAGTGCCACATCAGGACTCTCTGGTTAAGTAAAGGGTCAGAAAAAATGAGGCAAACTGTCCATGGAATAGGCTCACACAATAGCTACACCCATGAACTCAGACATCCAAAGATCACACAGATGGCTCAGGACTGGGTAGGCGAGGTTTTGTTCTGTTATATGGAAGGTCACCACAAGTCACAGCTGGTACATAGCAACTCACAGCAAGAGCCTCATACAGACACTGACTACAGCATGTCTTAGAGAATAGTTCTGTAGACGCAGGGGAGCAAAAGATTTCTATGCATTACCAAGTATCAGTTGCCAGTTGCTGCTGAATCTACTCTGACTCACGGTGACTTCATGTCAGAGTGGAGCTGGTCTCCATAAAGGTTTCAATGGCTGTTTGCTTGAATGTAGGTTTGCCAGCCCTTTCTTCCAAGGCACCCCTGGGTAGACGGAAACCATCAACCTTTTGGCTGTGTTGACCACTTGTGCCAGCCAGGGACTTTGCATTACCAAATACAGTGAAACCTGTAGAAGCTGCAACTCCATTGGACTGCCTTGTTTTTCCAGGTCTTGTAAGTTTTCCACCTTTGACAGGGTACAGTCTTACCACCGTTCTATTGGTAAGTGGAAAATATTTGGCATTTCCTTCTCTGATAGGTTTCTACCTTACACACATTCTGGTTCTTGCAGGTTTTATATCGGTCTCAGCTTTCCCTTTGATAACTATTCAATGTTCTGTAGAAATTGAATCTTTAGAGAGAGAGAAAAGTGCTGTGCCTGTGGGTGCCAGGGACTTGGTGGTAAGGGGGTGGGCAGCAGGCTGTAAGGAGGAGTTGGTGGGGTGACAAAAATCTGGGGGAGGAAAGGCAGTACAACAGGATCCAGTCTCAGAAGGTGGGCTAAAGGCAGAAGGGGACACCCAAGATGGAAGCGTACAGGAGAAAGAAAAAGAACAGAATGACCTGAGAACTGGGGTTACCAGAGACCTGCAGGATTGATGGGATTTTTATTTGTAGGAGGAGGAAACTCTTTTAACGCCTAAATAATATTTGTTAAAATGAAAGGCCTGCCTTGCCTCAGAAGACAGCCCTGGTGGTCTACTGTCCCCAGATAAGCTGTTTAAAACCTTATGGAGCACAGTTCTACTCTGACACACATGGGGACTCCATAAGTCAGAGTCTGCTCTGCGGCATCTGCCCCAAGAAGGCCAAGGGACATGGCAAAGAACCTGCCTCCTATGCCTTCCCGGCCTGTCTGAGCTTCTCTGGAAGGCTGGTGTAGAACTCCCCTCTTCCGCCCCCCACCCCCCACTGGCACCCCTGCCCTAGAGAGGAGCTATGGAAACAGCCGGCTAGGACCCTTCCCCTTTTCCAGTCAAGAGGTATACACCGAAGCATCTTTGAAAGCTCTTTCCATTTTTAAATAACATTGGATATTCTATTCCTAGTTTTATTTTGTTTTCATTCTTTCTTCTCTTTGCTCAAACACATGGAGCTCCACTTTTGAGAAATCTGTGCACTGTACAAACCTGGGAATTATCTGTTTCCAAGAACTCCACTATGCAATTTTTAAGAGCAACTCTGCCCATAATTGGTGTGTAACATTTCACAGTGAAGGTGGACCTTTTGATATTGCACTATTTACAAAATATCCAGACGGCTGGGTTGGCTTGGGCTTGGCCTTCCATGTACACACAGGCCTATTTCTGAGCAGCGGAGGTCCTTTTTTTTGTAGAAATGGCCTCAGCTCTGCTGCAAAACCACCAAGGGCGTCCAAGCATGTACTCAATCTGGGAGTGTTCTTTTATAGCACAATGGAAACGTGCACAGAAATAATCAACATTCTCTGAGAGTTCTGCTTGAGTGGTGTTTTTTTTTTTGTTTTTTTTTTTAAAAAAAAACATTTATTTCAAAGGGCAGGTGTTTTGCTATGCAACAATGGGGAAAACAAAATGGCCCAAAAGCAGTCGGAGCTTGTCTTAATAAATAATGAAATGCTGTTTACAGTTCCTAAACTTGACACATGACACATTTTAAATAACAAACATTCAGTGTGCTGCTGGGCATCTGAAAACCATCCTCAGGGTGTATGTGTACCTCGGAGTAAAGCACACTGCTGAGCTTGAGACATTCCACTCTCTGCCCTGAGCGTGACCCTCCACTCAATGCCATCTGTGGCCCACCTGAGAGGCTCAGGTGGGCAAAGCTATGTCTGGCGCTTCCTCACATGACAGGGGAGCCCTATTTGCCAGCTTGGGTGGTTTCACGGCCATTCAGTTTTTGGGTCACTAGAGTGAAAGGAAGCTCTGGGACTGTCTTTTGGGAAATGTGATGATGGATGGGTCTGTGTTCTGACTTGGCTTCTGAATCACTAATCAGGTTTTTGATGTCCTGTTAAAAACTGAGTTGTTATTTGCTTAATAATAACGCCAGCTTCTTGGTTAGCGGGCATTTTCATGTGGGTTTCAATACCCTGTTTTAGAGGGTACATTCAGGGGCCTCTGAAAGTGACAGGAAGGTTTGTGGTTAGGACACCTGCTGGCACAGCATCATGTCCCTTTGAAATTCTACCTAAATACCTGAGAGACGAGCCTGCTTCTAAAAAACCCAGAGCATCACTGTCAGTGTTCATCCATCCAGTCGATCAGTGGGTGAGACCCACCATGAGGCACTTGGTTGTCAGAGTCTGTTTTCCTGGTTTGGGTAAGGCGGCCTGGCAGCAGGTTCCACAAATACCCTGACTGCTCTCCTAGGTTCTGCGTGTAGTTGCAATGGAACCAGGAAATTCTCAAGTTCATGTTTGTGTTTCATTTAGGTTCATGTGCAAAATGCAAGAACCCATTCATGTTGCTCAACCCAGAAGCATTTGCTTGAAGTTTTCCTCGAAAGATGATTTTTGGAGGACAAGACTGACACAGTCAGTGTTCCTTAAACCTGAAAGATACAGTAAAATCACAGCTGGTTAAACTGCGAGCCACTGTTCAAACAACAGATGCTTCGTTTCATACAAAATGCACACAGCCCACAGAGAGCACATCTCTGTCTCCCTCGCCAGGACATTTTCTCGAAGTGGGATTTGATAGTGGATGACACAATCTCCACAGCCTGGTGGTGGGCAGGGAGGTGAGAGAGGGAAACAGAGGTGGGGGACAGCAGTGGGCAGAGGTAGCTTGGGGAGCTGCAACTGTCTGCCGCAACTCAGAGGGAAGGACAAAAGAGGCGATTTTCCCTCATACAGCTGTATTTAGATCTGAGGAATGATTGCCAGAAATGCACACAGGGCTTTCTATTAGCAAAGGGAAGAATGACAGGTATGCAATGGAGTGTAGGACCCTTGACGTTTCTTCTCTTTCTTTTTCAGGAAAAGCCAAGTGTGGGAGGCAGATAAGCCAGAATGATATTCTAAAGTTGTGCCTTAATCCCAAGAGATTACAGGGCAGTGGCAGACTTACGGAACTTGATCCCCCCTTGATGTCCCGGTGCAGCGCAGCTCCTTGTGGATGAGGCGGATCAGGCACTGCACCCAAAGCAGAGACAGACAGACATGTCACCACGGCCGAGGCCCTGCAGACACCTGCCCTGTGCCCTGCCACCCTCTGACCCACATTCCCCCTTTTCTCCCCAGGCATACCATAGTTTATCTGCTCTGGGAGATGCTTTATCTGCAAGGGGAACAGACACATGGGAAAGCCCACAAAGAGAGTTGCAGTTAGACTCACACTGATTGATTTTCTGTGCTTTTGCGAGGGTGACGCCAGTCTTCCCCCAGTGTTACTGAGTCACATAGAGGGGAGGCCCTGGAGAGAATTCCTGGGGAAAAATCCTACTTCTTTTTAGAGCATTAACCGGCCCAGGAGGGGCCATGGCACCAAGAGATGTGGGAGGCCCAACAGTGGGGGGTGCTGGAGGCAAGTTTTAGGGGGACATGTCATCACACATACACACAATACTAGCAACCCTCAGTTTAAAACTCTGGAAGGCATAAAAGTTTCTGTTTTCTTAGATGCTGCTGCTGTTATTAAATGATGTCACATTGGTTCTGATTCACAGAGACCCTGTACAGCGTTTCCGAGAATTGGCTGGTGGACTTGAACTGTCAACCTTGAGATTAGCAGTCTAGTACTTATCTTACAGCACCATACCAGGGCTCCAAGTAAGAACTTGGAAGTTCCTTATATGAGTTCAGGTTAAAGGGAACAGGCATTTCTCTTACAGATAAAATGTAGCTTTGCCTGATACACTGAGCAGTGTTTATTACTGCTGTGGGGGTAAAAGTAGTGAG